AAGTTGCTGAATATACTAATAAAAAAGGAAAAAAAGTTGAAATTAAAAAAGAACTACGTTTTCTTGATAGTTATAAATTTATGGCGTCTAGTTTAGATGAATTAATAAAAAATTCAACAAAAGAACTAGATTTATGTTCAGATAAAAAATTAAATTTATTGTTAAGAAAAGGTATTTACCCCTATGAATGGGTAGATTCTATTAGTAAATTAAATGAAACACAATTACCACCAAAAGAATCATTCTTTTCAAGATTAAATGATGAAGAAATAAGTGATGAAGATTATTTACATGCACAGACTGTATGGAAAGAGTTTGATTGTAAAACATTTAGAGATTACCATAATTTATACAATGTTGCTGATGTATTATTATTAGCACATGTCTTTGAAAATTTTAGAGATGTATGTATGAAAAATTATAAATTAGATCCTGCTTGGTACTATACATCACCAGGATTAGCTTGGGATGCTGCATTGTTAATAACTAAAGTAAAATTAGAACTACTAAGTGATTATGACATGGTAAAAGAAGGAATAAGAGGAGAAGTTAGCATGATTTCAAACAGGTTTGGAACTGCTAATAATATATATATATAGAAAATTATGATAAAAGTAAAGAATCTATCTATATACAATATTTAGATACAAATAATTTATACGGATGGGCAATGAGCAAACTACTTCCTACACATGGATTTCAATGGATGAATGAAGAAGAATTAAAAAGTTGGAAATCTACTTCTTGTATATTAGAAGTAGATTTAGATTATCTTGAATATTTACATGATATGCATAATGATTATCCACTTGCTCCTGAAAGATTAAAAATAGACAAAGTTGAAAAATTAGTACCTAATTTAAATCATAAGAAAAATTATATCAATCACTATGAAAATTTGAAATTGTATGAAAAATTAGGAATGAAATTGACTAAAATTCATAGAGGAATAAAGTTTGAAGAAAGTGCATGGCTAAGTAAATACATTTAACTCAATACAGATCTAAGAACAAAAGCAACAAATGACTTTGAAAAAAACTTTTTTAAACTTATGAATAATTCTGTATTTGGAAAAACAATGGCAAACATTGAAAACAGAGTTGATGTGAGATTAGTCTCTAAAAGAGAAGAAGCTATTAAATTAGCATCAAAACCTAACTATGAAAGTAGAACTATATTTGATGAAAATTTAATAGCGATACATATGAAAAGAACAAAACTTGTATATAATAAACCCATTTACTTGGGTATGTGTATTTTAGATTTAAGTAAGACTTTGATGTATGAATTTCATTACAATTATATAAAAAATAAATATGATGATAGAGCTAAACTGTTATTCACAGATACAGATTCATTAGCCTATGAAATAAAAACAGAAGACTTTTATGCAGATATTTCTAATGATTTAGAAAGCAAATTTGATACAAGTGAATTTGATCCAAATCATCCAGCTGTTAAAAATAGATTTAAAGTAGGACTAAATAAAAAAGTATTAGGAATGTTTAAAGATGAATTTGGAGGAGCACAAATTGAAGAATTTGTAGGACTCAGATCAAAATTGTATTCATACAAAATAAATGGAGAAGATAAAAAGAGATGTAAAGGAATAAAAAGAAATGTAGTTAAAAATAATATAACACATGAAGATTATAAAAACTGCTTGCTAAGCAGGAAAGATCAAATGAGAAAAATGAATGTCATAAGATCTCATTGTCATGATATATATACAGAAGAAATAAACAAAATAGCACTCAGTGCAGAAGATGATAAAAGAGTTATTTTAGAAGATGGAATTCACACCCTAGCATACGGACATTATAAATTAAAATAAACAGGCAGGCAGGTAAGTAATTTTTTATTTAAAAAATCTAAAACTATTAATAAAAATGGACAAACATATCAATGTTGAAGGAATTATATTACCAAATGAACCCTTAACAAACTTTCAATTAATAAAAGCAGCAAAAAAATTAAAAATAAAAAATTTTAGAGGTGTATTTGTAAGAGATGAATTACCTAAAAATACACAAAACAAAGAATGTGGAATATTAAATACTGGAGATTCAAGTACGAATGGATTTCATTGGATTTGTTGGTATAAAGATGGAGATGAGAAATTAAGTTTTGACTCTTATGCACTACCACCTCCAGTTGAACTTGTTCAATATTTACACAATCCTGTTTATTATAATAGTAGAAGAATTCAGTTTGGAGATACCTCCTATTGCGGACACTTGTGTCTTTATGTTTTAAAAAAATTAAATGAAGGAGTTGATTTTCAAAGTATTGAAAATTCATTATATTGAATTAAATCTCTTTAAGACTCAGGATTGTGAAAACGATCTAAAAAATATATATATACTAAATAAAAAATGAGTATGAATATAGCCGGTAGTACTTCAATGTATGGTTACACAACAGATGGATTAAATATCAACATTAATGTTGGCAATACAGCCACTACTGATGTTGATTTGAATTCACATAAACTTATCAATGTAGCTGATCCTACTGATGCACAAGATGCAGCTACAAAGCATTATGTAGATAATAATCAGACTTCTAGCAGTATGTATCTAAGAACTGATGGTTATAATCCTGCAACTGCTAACATAAATTTAAATACAAATAAACTCATCAACGTAGCTAATCCTACTAATGTACAGGATGCTGTTACAAAGAGCTATGTTGATGGTATGCAAAATCAAAGTTTAGATATCATTCCCAATATAAGTTTAATTTACTTTGGACAAAAATCTCAAGCATTCTATGCAACTCCAGGATCATATACTATTTTTAGCTATAGTGGTAGTTCAGGAATTCTAAAAAAACTGTGGATTGCATTTACAGGATCTACTATTGCACCTAATACTGTACCAGGTAACTTATTTTTAAAAATATATGCTGACAATGTACTTTGCATAGGTAATGGTTCTATTGCAACAGATGGTGTAGGTATTAATAATACAGCTTTAGCTTGTGATTTAATAATTGCACCACTTGGTGGACCCTATTATGCAAACTCTTTACAAGGATGTAATGTATTTAGTACAAGTGCATTAGGAGGATATTTTGCATTTGATCTTCCTTTTACATCAAGTTTGAATATACAATTATACAATAAAACAGGCAATTCAGTGACCTTTTGGTTACAACCTTTTATCACAAGAACTTCATCATTACAACAAACATTAACTAGTATTAATCCGCTGATACCTCGATCTATCTCATCCATTAAGTTGTACTCATCAACATTTAGATATGTAAATACAACTTATGGTAGTGAATATATGCTAATGAATGTTATGGATAATGGAAATGGAGTGTATTTGAAATACATTAGAATGCATGTTATTAGAAGATCTGGAGACTGGTGGGAATCTAGAGTACGTATATATGATGGATATGGTGCTCCTACTAATACTAACTCTGTCATTCAACCTTGGACACCCTATAATAATAATGGATATACTACATTTTCTGGATATGATGTTAATAGTCGATGTATCTATGCTTCATCAGGTTTAGAAGATTTTTATCTCTCTTCATGGAATGGATCTAATGTAAGCTCATTTAATAATGAGGCATCAGGATTACTTTATCAATCAAGTAGTGTAATTGGTTCAACAACTACAATTTCATTTTATAGAATCTTTAATTCATCTGAAAGTATGCCTAGTGTTGGTAGTGGTAGAAGAATGGTAGTGACACTCAACTCTGGTGATGCACAAGTTGGACAATCTGGAAGCTTTGCTGCATTAATAGGACAATGCTTCTACTACGCATAAGCGCACAAGAGCAAAAAAAAAAAAAGTCACGTGACCAGTGACGTCACGGCAAATGCAAATCTGTGATAGCAAAGAAATAAAATTGACGCTGATTTTTAAAATTGATTTTTTTAAATTTATGTAAATTTAAAAAGATTTCTTATTTGTAATATTATACGCAATATGCTTGAAAAATGAACCCTATATTTATTTAAATATAGGGTTGAAAATTTGGGTGAAAATAAAAATGTCCCAGAACTCTCTTCCTCTTCTACTTTAGTTACTAGATAAATAAACTTTAATTCCTTGGAAAATATAAGTTTCAGCGGTATATATATTTTTTAAAACAATATTTAAACCATTAGTAAAGATTTCCAGAAAGTTACAGGGTAGCACTATGTATCATAGAGTCACAGCAATCGTTTAAATGCAGTTCATGAATGATGACGCAATGAAGTAACGCACAAAAGTTGCAAACTTGTCAATTTCATGTAGATATTTAAAAAAAAAAAAATTGCTTGTGAATATTTTAAGTGAAATATTATGCTTCTACAACTCATATTTAATATATTTTTAATGAGAAATGCCAGTCATCATTTATTTCTAGCTACAGTGTGGCATTTTTAAAATTATTGTATATTTTCAAACTGTAGCAATATTATTACGCAAAAAAAATAAATGATATATATATATATATACATATATATATATATATATATATATATATATATATATATATATATATATATATATATTTAATTTATTCAGGTAGGCTAAAATATGATAAAAATATTTTTGTTAAAAATTTTTTTTAAGAAAATCTTAATAGTATGCTTATTACTTCAAGTCCCAGCTTTTAATTGCTAAAACAAAGAAAAAGAAAAAATCACTCACAGAAATGGAAATGCCCTATATATATATACATATATATATATATATATATATATATATATATATATATATATATATATATATATATATATATATATATATATATATATATATATATATATATATATATATATATATATATATATGTATATATATATATATATATATATATATATATATATATATATATGTATATGTATATGTATATGTATATGTATATATATATATATATATATATATATATATATATATATATATATATGTATATATATATATATATATATAATCTATTATTATAGTATTTTAAAGTTATTATTAAAGTATTTACAAAAATTTTAGTCTGAAATTGTTAAAGAAGCAGAAATAATGTCAAAACTGGATCATCCCAACATTGTTAGACTGATAGGAGTCACTCAATCACCAGAATTTATGCTAGTGATGGAGTTAGCTCCACAAGGTCCATTACACAAATTCTTGGAAAAAAATAGAAAAATGAAAGTGCTTGATATTCTTGTTCTCATGTTGCAGGTAAATTTCTTTTTAAGTTTTCAAGTTATTAATTTGTAACTATTAAATAAATTTAAATATAAACTTATGTTAAACTATTTAATATTTAATAATTTTTCAAGGTAATAAATAGTTATTACCTTTAAAACTTTTTAAGTTTTCAAGGTTTTAGTTGTTAATTTAAATGATTTTAAACAAATAAATCATAGCGATTGGCTAATTTTTAAAAACTTTTAAAAATAGGTTGATGAAGGAATGAACTACCTCGAGAGTCAACATTTTGTTCATCGTGATTTGGCTGCAAGAAATGTTTTAGTAGTATCGAAAAATTTCGTTAAAATATCAGACTTTGGAATGTCTAGAGCAATGGGCGTTGGAAATGAGTATTATCGAGTATGAATTATATAGAAAGTGCTAAGGAATAAAAAAACTTTCACATAATTTTATAGTTAATCAGTTTTTTTCTTTGATTATTACTTTTTATGAAGTCAGTTTTTAAATTGTTATATTAGGCTGAGCAAGCTGGTAAATGGCCATTAAAATGGTATGCTCTAGAATGTATATACTATCATAAGTTTTCAAGTAAAGGAGATGTTTGGAGTTATGGAATAACAATGTGGGAAGCAGTTTCTTATGGGGGTAAACCATACCAGGTCAGATTATTAAAGTTTTTATTATTGATTTGTTCTTAGTAAAATTTTGTTATTTAACCAAAATTTAAATTTTCTTTTGCTTGTATATATGTGTGCGACAATCATGTTTTATCTATAATTAAATGAATAAAAAAGATTTTATTTTATTTCTTAAATATGTATTAACAATATATTTAAGAAATAAAATAAAATCTTTTTTATTCACAATATATATATATATATATATATATATATTTATATATATATATATATATATATATATATATATATATATATATATATATATATATATATATATATATATAAAAATTATGTTTGTGTATTCTATAAATAGAGTACTCAATGTTCTTAAAGAACAGAGCAATAATAAATTAGTAAAAACACTTATCTAATTTTTATTTACTTCTATAGCATGTTTCTCCATCAGTAGGATCATCAGGAATTAAACTGATGAAAGAATCATCTTTTGCAAAGATCAATTACAAATCTTTCAACCTCATGACGACTACCGAGAACTTTTGGAGTTGTCTATTGTTTTTTTTTAGAGGAGCACCCTTGAGGAGCATTTTATTTAGAGCTCCTGCTGGTCTACACCGTGCTTGCTGGATGACAAAAGCTATTTATGCGTTGAAGACTTGGATGTTTAGAGACCAATTCACGTTGACAAAAAGAGAAGAGAAGGAAATAAGGGATATTTGCCTTTATATATATATATATATATATATATATATATATATATATGTATATATATATATATATATATATATATATATATATATATATATATATATATGTTTAATGGTACAGAAACTTATTATTTATTCCCGGGATAGGGATAATTAATAAGTTTCTGTACCATTAAAACTCTTCATTAGTTACACCTGTATCTGCTGGTGATACTATAACAACATCTTCAGCCAAGTATCATGTATGCCTAAGAAAATAATTTTTCAGACTTTTGTCTAGTATTTCGACTTCATCCTCTATGCTTTCAGCTACTTTAATAGCTTTGAGATCATTAGTTGGTGCTTAGATTATGATAAATGGTTTAAACAACCAATGAATGTAAAATATTGCTACAAAAGGTGCAATTTACAATTAAAAATATGCGGTTGTAGTGTAGTGGTAGAGCACTCACTTCATAGGCAAGAAGTTCCGAGTTCCATCCCCACCACGTTCCTGGTAGTACCGCGCTCAACTTGTTTCTAAATTTTTTAAGATTTTTTTTTTTTAATTTGAAGTTACTTTTTTGGTGCTTTAGTCTTTCCTGTTAGTGCTTGCAATAAATGACTGATGTGGCTCTCATATATGTATCGAAGACATAAAAGTCACACAAAATGCTTCCCGACAACATACCTACTTATAAGTTTGTTTCTTCAATTATGTGCACCAGGTTTGAAGCAGTTGTGTCAGTACAAACAGCAAAAATGTTATTTTCAATTTAAAAATCTTTTACTACCTTTTTTTTGTTTTGCTTGGCCATGATTGGTCTGTGGATTTTGCCTTTAGATGAATTTTCCTGGAACATGCCTAGCAGTATATCACTATTATTATTATCTTCAGGAGCTGACATGCTTACTGCAATCCTTTACATTTTAACAGTAATATTATTTTTAAGATTGCATTCATTACAAAATTTATCATCAAGTCAAGAAAGAGTTTCTTACCGATTAAAGCATTTTTATAACTATTTCTATTTTCTTCCCCTTTGTTTTTGATGGTATGAAATCTTTTTCTATGGGTTCCTGATTTTGACAAAATTATAATAATGATTACCTGACAAAACAATATCTTCCAAATTATGCACTGCATGCTTTAGAATTAAGGAGAAAATTGCTGTATGACCTCTCACACTAACCTCTCACACTCAAGATCAAATCTTTCATCACTTGTTGCTTTTATTATTCTGTCTCCTGATATTGACTTTTTTTTTTCAGCTCATCAGATCCTTTTTTTCTTATCAATGGCATAGAAGTTTTTATCTTTTTACATACATTGAAAAAAGAATCATTAGATGAAACAGACTCAAAATTTATTGATTTTCTATCAGAATCAGAGACAATATGATTTTCATATAGTTTTTATCTGTCAAACATTTCAAGTTATTTGTACAACTCATTCCTATATTAAGCTCTAAAATGGGCCTGTTCAAAAGATACAATGGCCTCCTTGGGTTTTATACCACATTGTTAAAAATTTTTTTCATACCTTTAAATTTTCTTTTTTTACAGTTTATTTTTCTGCATTGTTTGTTGTTTATTTCCATATTACTATTTATTTATCTAAAAAATATACTCTTTATTGTTATATTATATTTATAAAATGAAAAAAAATAAATGAAAAAGAGGTAGAAACGTATCATTTATGTGGACAGCCATATAAAAAATCCGAAAACGCCTGTTTTTTAGTTTTTACATCTAACAATTCTAAAAGTCCTTAAACCCTTAAATTTGCTAAAATTGCTTATATTTATATATATAACCAGGTTATATTTAGAACTCAAAAAAAAATTTTTCGGGACACCCTAATATATATATATATGTATATATATATATATATATATATATATATATATATATATATATATATATATATATATATATATATATATATATTTATATATATGTATATATATATATATATATGTATATATATATATATATATATGTATATATATGTATATATATATATATATATATATATGTATATATATATGTATATATATATATATATATATATATATATATATATATATATATATGTATATATATGTATATATATATATATATATATATGTATATATATATATATATATATATATATATATATATATATATATATATATATATATATATATATATATATATATATATATATATATATATATATATATATATATATATATTAGAGTGTCCCGAAATATATAATGCGTGCTAATTATCACTTTTGCTGTTTGTCTGTGAAATTTTATGTTACATGGCATTGTAAATCTGACATCATATATATTACAAAAAATTATAAATCTAACATTACATATGTTACATGGCATTATAAATCTGACATCACATATATTACAAAACATTATAAATCTAACATTACATATGTTACATGGCATTATAAATCTGAGATCACATATATTACAAAACATTATAAATCTAACATAAGATAATGTAAACAATAGTTTGTCACAACAGCCAACTAAGATAAAAAAATAAAACATAAGATAATGTAAACAACACAATAGTTTGTCACAACAGTCAACTAGATAAGAAAATAAAGATATTGTTAGTGCTTTTAAAATGTTTGTTCGTTTTTTTTTTCTTTCTAGATTATCACCTTTTACTTACATTTATTTGTGTTACCAAACTGGTTGTTAATTTATTAAAATCATATAAGAGTGTGATTTTATTTTATAAATTATTAATAAATTACGTTTATGAATATATATTTAAAATATGTAAATGTTTTCTGTCTTAAAATAAAGTATTTTTTTACTAAATCTACTAAATTTTTAAACATTAGTTGTTGTTTTTTGATTTAGTAATGTCAATGAATAAATCAATTTATACGCAAACATATTCAAAGAATGTTGAACAATGCAGGAATGCTTTGTTTAACATTTTTTGGATATTATATCATTTTGATAAACTATATACTTTTAAAGCAATATCTCTATTATTTTTATATCCACATATTTTTTTATTTCATAGCCCACTTTCATATAAATAGAATTTTCCAATTGAGATGTGTTTTTCATAAAAAAAGTAACCTAAAACTGCTATCAAGTAGCTTAGTATTTAGTTAATGATAACTGTTACCAAGTTACCAAGTTAGTTCAATTGGTGAAAAATAATATGCTGATTTTTTTCAAAAGAGTATACTAAAATTAGTTTAGTATAAAGATTATATATACAAAAAAATAATTGCAATAATGATCTTCAATTATTTAGTATAAAGATTATATATACAAAGAAATAATTTCAATAAAGTATAATAATTGGCTTCTAAATAAATGGTTTTTCAAAAAAATATTATCTATTGCAAAACAAATATTTATTTATTTATTTTTGCATCAGTTACTTCAAAAAAAAAAGGGGGTGTAAATACTTCACATACAAAAAAAAAACTTTCCATTATTGCTTTTTCTTAAATTTTACAGTGTCAAATTTTTAGGAAATTCTAAAACTAGACAAAAATAATGCTACAAAACAAAAATTATATACAAAAAATAAAAAATGTACATATTCTTAACTTAGGTGAGGGAACTTTTCTATATACAATAAGAAGATAAAAAGTAGCGCTTACAAAAACAACATACTTGGTGATATAAAACTATAGACAAATAATAAGCTTTGGCTAATTAAAGAAACTGACTTAAAAATCTGTTTTTATTAAAATATGAAATTCACTACAGTTATTAAAATAACTTATGTGTACTGATGTGAAGTAATTTTTTACACATTAGCAGTACCAGAGAAGTAACACGCAATCTTTAACACATATTTATTTCCATGTTTAGGGTATGGGAGGATCAGTTATAATAGAAAAACTTGAAAGTGGTTATCGTCTTCCAAAGCCTGATAATTGTTCAGATGCTGTGTACACATTAATGTTAAAATGTTGGGAAACTAAGTATGACATTTTTTTATTTTTGTTTTATTTACCATGCTTTATTTTTTTAATTTATTTTTAATATTGGATACAATAACAATTGAAATTCTTAATAGATTTTCTTTGTTTTATTAGTTATTTATTGAATAATAAGAATTTTTTTTTTTTTTTTTTTTTTTGGTCTTGTTTTTTAATTTTAGATTTTTATATTTATTTTTAATTAGAATTTTAAAACACAGCAAGACTTAAATCTTGCAAAACCGGTCAAAAGTAATAACTAGCAGTAATGAATATTTTTTTCTAGTTTTGTTTTAAAGACATTTGTAGGTGTTAAATTATCTAAATCTAGTCATTTGTAGGGTTTTAGGTAACTCTTCGCACTGTTATCAAAATTAATCTTTATTTAACATATTTTTAATAACTTTTCTTGAGTCAGGTAACATGGCAGTCAATGTATTTCAGTTGACTTGTTAGCCATTATAGCAAGAAGGAATCTTCTGCTCATTAGATTAGGTTAGGTAGAGGTTTTGCTCTTAATGTATTAGGGCTTTTAAAAAAACCTTAATGTATTAAGGCTTTTAAAAAAATCTGGCTTGTTGGTCTTTTTGATTATCACATGTCATTAGGTCTATCTGGAAAATTTTTAGAATTATTTAATCATTTCTTTTTAACAATAGTATTAAATTTGCTTTTGTTAGATAACATTTTCCTTTGTTCTTGATAGATAACATTTTCCTTTGTTCTTGATAGATAACATTTTCCTTTGTTCTTGATAGATAACATTTTCCTTTGTTCTTGATAGATAACATTAGTTCTTGATAGATAATATTTGTTCTTGATAGATAACATTTGTTCTTGATAGATAACATTTGTTCTTGATAGATAACATTTTCCTTTGTTCTTGATAGATAACATTTTCCTTTGTTCTTGATAGATAACATTTTCCTTTGTTCTTGATAGATAACATTAGTTCTTGATAGATAATATTTGTTCTTGATAGATAACATTTGTTCTTGATAGATAACATTTGTTCTTGATAGATAACATTTTCCTTTGTTTTTAGCAGCTTTATGTGGTAGTGGTATATTGGTAGATCGCTCGCATCATAAGCAAGAAGATTCGAGATTGATCCCCACCATGTCTCTGGTAGTACTGCGCTTAGTTTGTTTTTCCACTCAACAGCCTTAATCATCAAGGTTCATGTTTTGGAGTTATAGAGTTAAGAGATGGTTATAACTGCAACTAAAGTAGCCTCCTCAACTGTTGTGGCCTTTGTGGCCTTTGGGAGATAAATTAAAAAAACAAAAAAATAAGGCTCCACAATGCACCATTCAAGTATGGTGCATTGTGGAGCCTTATTTTTTCTATATTAATGATTGTGCTGTTTCTTGTCTATATTAATGATTCTTCTAAATCTAAAGTGACTTTGTTTACTGATGACCTCTGAAGTGACTTTGTTTACTGATGAAACAACAAAGTACTCCAGTCTTGATAAAAAGTTATTCTTTTTGATTAATGGGAATCACCATTAGCACAATTTAAATTTTAAAAAATGCAAAAATATGTATCAAAGGACTGAGCTTTCAAGCCCAAGTGAAATAAGAAAAAAAAAAGGAAAAGTGAAAGGATAAAAAAATAAAATTAAAAAGATATTTTGAACAGATGTTCAGAACACAACAAAAATACTAAAGTAAAGTGTATGTTAAAAAAATAATACATCATCATGCGCGTAATAAAAGTTATAAACTCAGACTCCTAATGACCAATCAGGAAAATCATGACCAACGTGCAAGGTCTAAAAGATATGAAGTTAAAATACAAAGCTTAACGCCATATGCTCAGAGTGGGAAGGAACCTGGAACTCATGGTTGATTAGGCTGATAAACTAACCGATCAAGCTATAGATGTTTATGTTGATACAGAATAATAAACATAAAAAATATAATAAAATTAAAGACAAAATTATTTTTTTAATAATTAACCTCCTCAAGGCCAAAAAGGCGAGGAGGCTACTTAATTGTGGTTATAACCCTCTCTCAACTCTATAACTCTGAAACACGAACCTTGACAAACAAAGCTGCTGCGTGGAGAAAGAAGAAATGAAATCAAATAGTGTACAAAATAAATAAAAGCAAAGTACTGAAATATGTATATATATATACACATATACATGTACACACATATATATACATACCCATATACATACAAAAACACACACAAATATATATATATATATATATATATACATATATATATATATATATATATATATATATATATATATATATATATATATATATATATATATATATATATATATATATATACATATATATATATATATATATATATATATATATATATATATATATATATATATATATATATATATATATATATATATATATATATATATATATATATATATATATAAATATAATATGGTGGTGATCATGGTGGGGATCAATCTCGAATCTTCTTGCTTATGATGCGAGCGATCTACCAATATACCACTACCACATAAAGCTGCTAAAAACAAAGGAAAATGTCATCTATCAAGAACAAATGTTATCTATCAAGAACAAATGTTATCTATCAAGAACAAAGGAAAATGTTATCTATCAAAAACAATATATATATATATATATATATATATATATATATATATATATATATATATATATATATATATATATATATATATATATATATACATATATATATATATATATATATATATATATATATGTATATATATATATATATATATATATATATATATATATGTATATATATATATAAATATATATATACATATATATACAAACCACTTTTTCTTTCATTCCTAGAAAGTTGAATCAGGAAAAACAATACATTGTTATTAAATAAAATAATCAATAACTAATTATCAATAACTAACATAGAATAAATAATAAACAATAGAATTATCAATGGATTGTATATATTTTATTGAAAATTGAATCAGGAAAATCAATACAATAATAATAAATAAAATATAATAATAATAAATATAATAGTCAATAACTAATAATCAATAACTAAAATAGAATAAAAAATAAACTAATGAGTAATTAATATATACAATCCATTGAAAATGGATTGTATATATTGTTTTATTGTTTTTATGAGAGGTTAGTGATGAACTGAGGTGACTGAACTGAGGTGACTAGTGATGAACTGAGGTGACTAGTGATGAACTGAGGTGACTAGTGATGAACTGAGGTGACTAGTGATGAACTGAGGTGACTAGTGATGAACTGAGGTGACTAGTGATGAACTGAGGTGACTAGTGATGAACTGAGGTGACTGAACTGAGGTGACTAGTGATGAACTGAGGTGACTGAACTGAGGTGACTAGTGATGAACTGAGGTGACATATATTAAAATATGAATATCACAGCTATCATAATATTATTGTCATAGCTATTAGCAGTAAACAACTGTGTTTTGTTAACAAGCCATGTCTTAAGCTGTCACAGCAAGCTGTTAGTTCATGTTAAATGTCTTGAAGAAATTCAGGAAATATCCTAATTTAATCTTTATTTTTGTAGCTTACCTGTGTCAAAATTGAAGAAACTGAATAAGGTCTCCATTCTTAGTTTGTATGAAAATGGGAGCTGCACATTGATAGTTTTGAACAGAACATCTTTGTCAAACTTTATGATCTGCTTTTTAAAAAAAATCATTTCTTATGTGCACGTATCTCATATTGTTTTTACTGTATGCTGAGTTTCACAATTTTAACTAAACAATATACAATGGTTATTATATATTTATAATAAAAGGATGTGATGAATGATTGATGTGATGAATGATTATAGGAACCTAAAGTTAAACTTTATTACTTTAATAAGGCTCCACAATATGGTCTTTTCTTACTATGGTTGTTTTATTATAAGTAGGATAGGGCATTCTATAAACTTTATTTACTACAAACATTTTATATCTTCATCCTCCCTGTTTATAATATAGGGTAAAAAAGAGAATCATTTTAGACAATTAAAAATATAGGTTTTAAAGATGTTTAACAGCATTTTTAACATTAAAAAATATTAATAATTTTAATCTCTATTAATAATAATTACTAATAATTCTATTTTAATTGTAATTTATTTTAGTATAATTTTTATACTTGTAACTTCTTGTGTTGGAACTGTAATTTTTCATATGTGGTTAAAAACAGCTTGATTAAAGAATTTATAAATTAACAGATTTTATATAGCAAATATATACCATATAAAAGTTTAAATATATATGCTTTATGATGCGTGCGCTAACTAAAAGTATAAATAATTTAAAAACTCCAGTCAGTTCCTTTTTATAAATTTATTTTTTATGTTTACCAAGCAATTAATTATTAAGTTTCATTTCTATTGTTTACTTATTGCTTTCTTGGATAAAAAAGCCTAATCTTAACAAATTATAAAAAAAATTTTGATACAAGAATAAAAATTTAGATATTTTAGAAATGAGAAATTAAAATAAAAATTGTATTCTGTTTTTTTAGGGTTCCGTTTGTTATAATTGACTTAAGAAGTCGTAAAAGTTAATTATTTTCTAAAATCCGAGACAAATTATTACTAGTCTTCATATCATTAAAATATTTTTTGCTATTTAAGTAATTCAAATTATTATAATTAGTACTTTTAATAATTTTTGTGTTGTTAGAGTTATTATAATTATTTCTTTACATTAATTTACAAAATAATTATTGGTCCTCACGTAAACAACTTCACACATAAGAGTGTTTTTTTGTTGAGCATTTATTGTAGAAAAAATGTTACAAAAGTCTAACAGATATAGTTAATTTATTTTATATACCTATCTCCCTGTAATCCGTTTCACAGTTTGTCTTTTGCTAGTGCCCAAAAAAACTTTGATTAATTCCGTCTGGTGCTAACATAAGTTATCAACATGGATAATAAGTAATCAACCTAAATTTTGCATTTGATTCTAGAGAAAATCTTTTACATTTAAGATGGTTTCTTCATGGGATTTTATATAAATTCCAACAAAACGCTTGAATGATTTGTCTTTCCCATCATCTTTTACTGTGAGAAGTAGCAAAATATTTTCATTGTATACTTTTAAATTGATTTTTTATAAAATAGTATTTTAAATATTTTGCCATATATCAATTTTTGAGTTGAGTGCAAGGAAGTGCATTTCTCTATAGAACTCCATACTTGTTTTATGTAAATGAAAGAGACATAATAAAAGAGAAAATAATGACCTTAATATGGCACTTTTCTTTTTTTAAATAAAAAACAGAACCATATAATATAGTTAGTAGAATTCACTTATCAGTTTTTTTTATTTTACATGATATTTTGTGATTAAAGATTTTTCAGAAGTTAAATTTAGAGGATATTGAATTTTTTTTTTAATTTTTATGCAAAGAGCTAATGGTGACAGTTTTGTCGTTAATGAAAGCAATTGGTGTAATTGTCCACAGTTAATTACATATAATAGCCTTATAACTAATATGATTGAGTTTCCAAATATTTTTAATGATTATAAATAATTTAAAGTTAGATTTTGTATACAAAACTTAAAAAAAATATTATCATTATTATCATGAAAAAATAAATCTTTAACTAGAAAAAAATATTTTAGAAAGCCTTAGATCTGGAAAAGCTTGTCATGAAATTGCTGCTGAGTTTGGAAAGTCTAACATATTCATATATATAAAATCAAATTGTGCAATGATTTGTAAAAAAAGTATATAAGGCTGAAAGTGGTTGAAAGAAAATTTTTACACGAACAAAACAAAGAACAATCGTTTTTATAATTGCTTCTGGAGTCTAAAACTGCAAAGGATGTTCCAAATTTAATGAATAACATGGGACTCATGCTTCAGTTCAGACAGTCATTCAAGAACTTGAAAAGAATTGGTTTTCAATCTAGAAAGAAGATCAAGGTCACAAGTCAATACTCATATAGTCTCAAGTCAAGTCATATTATTATCAAAGATTCCAGTACGTTTTGTGGCTGTTAGTACTGTGGCTAGAAGTTCAGAGGCCCCTTTCAAAACCTATCATATAGATCACAAAGTTCTTAAAAATGTTTCTTACATGGGGGGGGGGGGGGGCGTGGGGAGTTTACTATGGTTCTGGTAGCTACATTCAAACAATCAAGTTGCAATTATAAATTACAGCATAGACATGATAATAATTATAACTTTATACTTTATTATATTAAAATAATACTTCAAAGCTATAAAAGTAAAATAAACCTTCTGACAAACAGTGTCAGAATTTAAACTTGCATGCTTAGGACTCATAATTAAGCTACCCTGACTGACCCTGACTTTCATCCAAATTGAAAATGACTTTTATGTGGAATCCATCTTGTTGCATTTACTCAAAGAATACCCTGCTTGGAGTCAAATGTTTTATCGAAAACTCTTTTAAATATTGTACTAGTATGAAGCTTTTAACTTCCATACTTTTTTAGATAATTATCAAAGGAAGTATGGAGGTTTTCACTTTTTTTTTAATTTCCATACTTTTTTTAATCTCCATACTTTCTTCGATAATTTAATTTTTTCTTCGATAATTTAATTTTTAATGTTAAGTTTATTCAAATATATATATATATATATATATATATATATATATATATATATATATATATATATATATATATACACAGACATATTATTAAACATATATTTTAGTCCTGATGATCGACCATCATTTATGGAAATTGGTATCATTTTATCACAATATATTCAAAATGAGAGAAATAAAAAGAAATAGAATTTACATCTGTTGTGGGGTTGTATCACTTGACTTATTTTTTAATGGATTTTTATAACAAATTTAAGGTTTAAAATTAAGAATTTTTGTTAATTTCACTTTTTTTTATTTTTTTTATCCAAAGACGACATAACTGTTTTTAAGACAACTGTTTTTATAGTCTTTTATTAGGAATTTTTTCCAAAAATCGTCTTTGAAATATCTTTTTTAAATGGTTTTTACATGTTTTTTTGTTGTTGATGTTTTTGTTTTTTTTGTGTGCGTGTGTGTGTGTTTTCTAGAGTTATTTTTTTATGAAAATGTTTTTGATTCATATTTTATTACAAAAATTGTTAATAATTTTACAAAAGTAAATAATAATTTTTATACTTATTTTTTGTTTGTTTTAAAACATTTTTTAATTGATTCGAATTCTTGTAGACATCTTCAAAAAAGAGATTTATTTCATTTATTCTTAAGTTTTAATACATTTATATTAAGAATTTTATTATTAATAAAGTTGCTAAATTTAGCATATGTGCATATAAACACAATTTTTTAATGTAATTTTTTATTGTAATTAAAATTAAAAGTTTTTCAAAATAATATAGTTTTTATTCTGTTTGAATTATGTTTTGCGTTTGTTGACCAACACTTATAAGGGTAATAAAGATGTGAGAAAAAATATAATTATTTTTTCTCACATCTTTATGTGTGCATTTTTCATAGAGATTAGTTTGATCGTTTTTATTTAAGGGAAAGTCGGGTAGTCCCAGACGGCGAGTTACTCCAGACACATGATGTACAGCTTAAACAAAAGAAGCTATGAGATTTTAAATACTTTTAAAACATTGTTTTTATAGTATTTTATATATATATGTATATATATATGTATATATATTTATTTATATATATATATATATATGTGTGTGTATATATATATATATATATATATATATATATATATATATATATATATATATATATATATATATATATATATATATATATATATATATATATATATATATATATATATACAATTTAAAATGTATTCTACAAAAAGAGTGTTCAATGTTCTTAAAAGAACAGAGCAATTACAAATTAGTAGAAAATCACTTAGCAAAATTTTTTCTCATTTAACACTGTGCTTCATCAATAAAGATTTCTGATGAGCCTTTATTGATGAAACACAGTGTTAAATGAGAAAAAATTTTGCTAAGTGATTTTCTACTAATTTATATATATATATATATATATATATATATATATATATATATATATATAATATATATATATATATATATATATATATATATATATATATATATATATATATATATATATATATATATATGAACACTTTAATGAGCCAGGTCGGAACCCTCAAAATATAAAAGAGTCACAGAATGTTTGGCAGTCGAATATTTGGTGACACAAAACCACTATTTGTGACATCTCTTGTTATAATAGTACATGCTTTTGTTTTTAAACTAATAAACAAAATAAAAAGATCGGAAAGTTAATGAAAAGATAAAGGGATTTTGAGATTTTTACTTGACTTAATCGACTTTTAGTCGATTAGTAGGGTGTCTATAGTCGATTAAATCGACTATTCGTTTTTTCTTAGTCAAAAATTTCGACTTTCGACTAGTAGACTTTTAGTCGATTTACTCGAAGTCGATATGAACACTAATAAAATTTCTACTGTCGTCACAAAAGTCAGAAAAATTGTCAAGTTATTTCAAAAATTTCCACTCAAAAATGATGAACTCCAAAAATGAAGTTTAGCTTATACTTGACTGTAGAACAAGGAGAAATAGTCTACTGTTGATGATTCAACAATTTCTCAAAGTTAAAGATTCAATCAGAAAATTATTGAAAGATGTTTCTTTGCATTTAATTTGCAGCAACAATGACTTAAACATTTTATGCAACATTGTTGCGGCTCTAGAACTAGTCAAATTGGTAGCAGAAGCTTTTTTGCCGACAGGATACAACTTTTCTTTCTGCTAAAGGAATTTTTAAATTTCTTTTGAAAAGACTGAAACAACAAGATTTAACTCTTAGCATTACAATGACGAATGCAATTTAAAAAATTTTGAAAAGAGAATGCAGATCAATCTTGAAAACTTGTACAGATATTTTTTCAATCGAGAATGTATATCTGACATGAAGAACATGAAGTTTTCAAAATGCTTTCGAAGTATGTACTTCAAAGTAATGCTAAATATTTGCTGCCTAGACTTTTCCCAACAATCCAGATGAGTTAAAATTTATTGAAGAAGTGTGTGTCTCAGAAAATCTTGATAAAAATCTACTAAAGATGAATTGGAAGAAGCATTTCAATATTCGTCCCAAAAACAACACTACGTGTCAAACAACACCACATGTCAAACAACCAATTCAAAAGCATTTTAAAAGAAATGTTGGTCTATAAAGCTATTGAAAAGAGCTGCGCCAATCTTTTGTTCACTGCCAAACCTTTGTTCAACGCCAAACTTTTTTTTTGGCACTGCCAAACTTTTGTTCAATGCACTGGAAACAAGTGTTGAGTCTGAGCAAGCCTTTTCAGCTTTTTTTTTTCAGCTGCAGGAAAATCTGTGACAAAAACTCAATTCAGAATGAATTACAACGTACTTGATACACTTTGTTTCATCAAAGCTCATTTTTTATCAATATAACAATTATTACTTGAAGATGTTTGATCTAATTCTTATAAAGACTTTATTTTGAAACAACATAAAATTTTTTTATAATTTTTTTTATCCTTTTTTATCTGATGAATTTTGTGGTTCTGCTGATTCTAGTGACACAACATTTTTTCATCGTCAATATCGGTATCATTTTGGTCTTCATTGAACACTCTGGCAAAGATTAAACAATTGTCAGTCACAGTGAATATCGTGATGATCAAGCCCAAAGTATGTTGAAAAATTGCTCTGCAATAGCATTAGGACTTTCTTTGTATCGTTTGCAGGCAAGAACAACATACATTCAAGATATTTATAACAACCCCATCTAGCTCATTTTCAAACTGCATAAATATGTCTACTTTTACAAATATGGAAATCAACCTCAGCATTTGATCTTTTATTGTGTTAAGAATATATAAATAAATAGATAGGTTTTCCATCAAGCTCGTTATCAAGAATTGAACCTAATATAAACAACTGTGAATGAGGATAAAAGACCGGTAACTTATTTTTTAAATGATTCTTTTAAATCTTGCTAGAATCTTTATCATTCTGACACCATCGTTATTCATATTTAATCAATTGTTTATATAATCATTTAACACAGTGTATACATTATATATTCCATAATCAATTTATATATAACCCATTGTTCTTCTTTGTTGATATAATCTATAGATCTTCTGACGTCATGAATAACCCATTGTTCTGACGTCATTGTCTTTATAAACAATCATTTATGCTTAACTCATAAATTATTAGAAATAATAAAGGAAATAAAAATAATAAATATTAAAAATGATAAAGAAAATAAAAATAATAAAGATAAATGCAAATATAATATTAAAAAATTCTCTGCATCTTGAAAAACATTGAAAGATGAAAATACATTCAAATTTATATTTAGAATACTTGACAAATGCTTGACTAAAAAAGTATTTAAAATGCAAAATACAAGCTCTTTGAAAGTATTTTAAATACGTATTTAAAATACTTTACAAAACTGTTGGGAATAAATAATTATTTATAAATAATAAATGCATCAACTTTCCTAATAATTTACAACATTGTTGGACAGTATCTATGTCTTTTTGAAAAAACAACAATAAAAATATCATTTTATTTTCATTTTCCTTTGTTTTTTAAATCTGAAACAGTGCCTACATTTAAAGTGTGTGCTTTAAATTTTAAAGATAAAAATATGTTAGTATTGTGTATTACTAAGTAAATAAATATTGCTAAGTAATAAATATTATTATTATTTTATTTATTTAACACCCAATTTACAAGGTAAAAAGAAAAAAATAAGAAAGTTATTTCGGATGACTTAGCTTAAAAACGTTTTCTTCCAGAATTTGCTTGAAAACTCCTCTTTGCTCTTTTGCATTCCAGCACTCTATTACATACTTCAAGTTTCGTTCAACTTCGGAAGGAATTTTACTTTTAGAAAGTGGTATTTTTACCTTCTTTTTATTTTGAATTAGGTTTTGAAAATTTAATATCTGAAGGTGGCATAGTTCCTGAATATCACTAACAAACGAATGTTGAAATAACGGGTGTTGCAGTTGTGAAAAGATAATGTCTGCAGTTGTTTTGTTATTAAGAAGTCGAAGGAACAAGTTTAACTTATTTTGTTGAACACTTTTTGAAATTTCCTGGATTTTAAATAACGAACTCATATAGTTTTTACTATGTTTTGAAACATTTAAAAACGATTTTAGCGCACTCCTTCCAATTATATCAAGCTTTTTCATCAGACCAGGTTTATTTTCACATAGCTCCATACCATAAGTTAAGGTGGGGACTGCCAATGATTTATATATATAGGAAATAGAACTGGGGTGGGCAAACCGGATTCCAGATTGAATAAGAGTTTGAACAACAGCTCTAAAGTTTGATATTTTTTCATCAACATTTGAATAACCGAGTGAAGCAAAAACTGAATGTTTAGTATCCCATGTGAATCCCAGATGTCTAAGTTTATTCTGAAGATTTTTTTTATTACCAGAAATTGTTATTGTATTAGTTTGTATTTGGGCTTTACCTGAGATCAAGAACTCAGTCTTTTCGGCATTCAGTTTAATACAATTTAGATTACTGTAAATATTGCATGTTTTTATAAGCTTTTTGAGACCAGATAAGGTAGAGCTTAAAAGTATTATATCATCCGCATAGGCTACCACACCAGTAAAGTTACCGTTTATAGATGTGCCAACAATACCCTGATTTTTAATAGTTTCGAGAAGACTTTCAGTGTAAATATTATAGAGGTGAGGCGAAAGAATTGATCCTTGTCTTACTCCTTGGTTTAGAGAAAAAGAGTTTGACTTACAACCTTGATATGAGACTGTTGCGCTACTATTGTTATACAACGAGGAGATAGTGTTAACTATACATAGTGGTAATTTTTTATCGAAATATAATTTTTCAAATAGGATATTCCAGTCACAGCTATCGAAAGCTTTTTCTGCATCTAAAGAACATAGATACACAGGGGAATGGTTGCTGTTGTAATGTTTAATTGTTTCGCTTATTAGAAATTCAGCATGTAGCGTTGAAGAGTTAGCATTGAATCCAAATTGTAGGGAGTGAGTATCTCTAATA